CCTTTGACATAAAATCGTGGGCTAAAACACACAATGGGCTTATCTAAGAGATGAGACTACCCTAATCATTCACATGTAAAGGGTTACCTGATTAAGGTTACCTAATTCACTTGTGGGTCACGGTTTTCCCTAAATCTCAAACTGTGAGGTGTCATTTTCTTTAAACTAGCTTTCTCATCGAACAAGTAAAAAAGTAGTTAGGTTTGAGTCCTTTGTTGAACTAGTAGGATAGTCAAGTCAAACAAGTGGGACGATAAGTATAAACAAATTTAGGCAAACCATCAAGTTCTGATGAAAGCTGTACCACGTGAATTTCAACTTGTAACACCCTAAATTTTTTTAAAAAATAATTTAACTCAACCATGGTAGAAAAGTGTCTACCATGATAAATAGAAATCAACTTATCCTATATTTTTTTTGAAATAATTCTGTAATTTAAAATACTACCGTAGTAGAAAATGATAAAACAAAACCTTATAATACATTTCACCTTTTAGGTATTGTTTGGTTGGGGAGAGGGGAGGGGGCACCCCTCCCTTCCCTTTGTCCTATCGAAATAAGGGGAGGGGACCTTTCCCTTCTCTTGTTTGGTTAGAGAGAGGAGAGGGAACCCTCCAAAACCTCCCCCCTCTAATTTGGGGGGAGAACCCCCCTCCCCCTCCCTCCCCCTCCTCTCCTCTCACCTCCCTTCCCCTCTATTCCCTCCATCCCCTCCATCCCTTCCCTCCCTTTTTCTTTCCTTAAATCAAATAAAGCCTTAAAATAACTATCATGGTAGGAAAGATTAAACTAGATAAATAAATATTATCATGGTAAGTAGAATTTAACTCTTTAAATTGTCATTTTTAAAATTTGAAATTTCAAGAAATTAAAAAATAAATAAATGTGAAAGGCCCAAATAATCCCTTTTAGAATTGAGAATATGATGAACATGATAGAATCAAAAATAGAAATAGTCATGCATTTTAAAATCTTACAACCACCTATCACCTTTTTTAAATAATATAAAATAATTTTATACAACTAATACACATTTACAATCATAGTTAGGTAACAGCAACTCAACACATTTTATATTAATAAATTTAATATAAAAAATATTTAATAATTAGCTTAAGCTTGCATAAAGTAACATCTCAGATAAATTTTTACTTCCCACATGCTATTAGGCTAAAACTATATTTTTCCATCCTTGTACTCCTAATAAGTGCAAATCATAGACCAACAACTAAAATAAACAACTTAATCAATTTTCAAAACAAGCCAATTATTTGGCCTCATTATTATACCATTTCAAACTATCCAAAATAAACCAAATATTAAAGTTATAGTCATTTAAAGTGTACCAAAAGTAGAAATAGTTTGACGAACATGATTATATCACTACATTCATATAATTGTTAATAAACAAAAAGCTCTAGTATTGGCAATATAACAGATTAAAAATAATAAATTAAATATTCAAAAAAAGACAGTGGATCGATGCCACTAAGCCTCAGAGGCTTCTTATGCGTCACTCGTGGACTCTTCTCTTGAAAATTATTAATCACATAATGAGACTTAAAAGTTCCAGTAACCCATGCCAATTTATGATAATGTGTACAAACAGTTAAATGTGGACTTGCTAAGTAGGGAAACAATAGTCATATAATTCCAACAAAAATACAAAAAATATTACAATCTTCACAATTTTTTCATTTTCAATAATATTACATGACATCCTACTTGGCAAAAATACTTTAAAATGCATATTTATAATTTCACAATTTTGTCATAAACATAACAAAATAATTTCTCAATAACAATTCATAATTTTTTCAATAATCACCCTATTAATATGAAGCAATACTAGTCACAAATTAAAAGTATGATTACCTTGTGACTTTTTTAATAAATTATTTCTTACAATTTCTCTTTCACTACAATCTTTACTAACAACATAATCTACAAATAATATATTATTTATAAATATTAGTTTTAATTATTGAAACTAATAAAATAACTCTAATAATAGAATTAGAGAATATGACATAATTTTTAATCTCAATCTTAATACAAATCTAGAATTAGTACTATCAAAAAAATTTTTTAACTCCTCTTTTAGTCATCAATAAACATTAATAAACTAAAACTAATGTCTAAACCAATTTCTATTATCAATATTTTTCTTTTTATTTCATAAATTCGCACTTAAAAATATTAAAAATTAGAAATTGAATTTCAAGTCTAAAATCATCATCCTACAGCCATAATAATTTATTTTTTATCCCAAATAATCATCTAAACTTTAATAAATCAACATATATTTTTAGATTTAATAAAAATTTAGTTTAAAGTTTGATCTATAAGCTTCAAATTCAAAGCTCATCAACAAATTTATACTCTAGAACAATTAGTATACTATTAACAATCTCAACAACCACATTTATTCAGCATAAATTTATTTCTCTTCCAAATTTTAGATTTTTCACCAACATAAAATCAGAAACGAAAGGAGCTAGATGAATAAAAAAAATTTTAAAACACTTATTTAGTCTTAAAAAACTTAAAATTTCATCCTAAATATTTTATTAAAAAAGCTCACCTTTTAAAATCAGATTCCCTATGCCGGCAAACTCGCTTATTGTTGCTCCCTCTGTTTCGTACGCAAAGAGAAATGAAGACAGAAGGAGAAATGAAAGGAAAATGGACATTTGTTGTTTTTAAAAAACACCTGTGGGTACCATGTCCTTTTTCCTCCCTTTATATATATATATATATATATATATTAATAATATCAACTCCTGTTATCGAAAAGAACGTCTATATCTTCCTTTTTTTTTAATTAATTTCTCATTCTCTTACAATTCTTGTTCTTATTTCCTGATGATGATGATGAATAAAAATTTCTAAAATCTTAACTTAGAATTATATCTAAAATTAAATCTAATAATCATCTCTTATTAATTTACTTACCTCTAAATATTTTTTAAAATTTTTATTATCTCAAATTAACTATTAAAATTTAAATTAGGATGTTACACAACTCACTACTCCTCTTCTCAGAAAAATTCTTGCATCTCATAATCATGCAGTGTACAAATGTAATATCTCATAGCATGCAATTATTCATTGTATAAGCATGCATAAGTTTACCATTGTAATCTAATCATAAATAGATATCACATAACATATATATACTGATCATTGAACTCCCTTTTACTTCACCTCATCAAACTTTTCACTATAGATATTCATTGAACTTAACAAATATCACATTATTGAACTCCTCATAATCACATCATTGAACTCCATACAATCCATACAATCATATTACTGAATTATACTCAACCACATCATTGGACTTCATACAAATACATCATTGAACTCCACAAAATTAAAATATTCAATTTTTAAATATTTCATGTCGCACTTGCATTAAGTAATTTTACACATTTCAATTGTAATATATAAATTGATAGATCAATTAATACACAAAAGCACAAGAAAGAATTCATTTGGCTACTTTAAATCTTTGTGAGGTCAAAAATTTATCTATCAATTTTACACTTTCAAAGCTTTCATGAAACTTAAACGGTGTCAATAGATAGTTGATCTACGATAAATCATGACACAATTATCAATATCTTCCTTTAGGATAATTTTCAACACTTCAATGCTCTTAAAATTCAATCTCCTCAATTTCAAAGGTACCTATAGGATTTATTAGCTTCCTCTAATTCCCTTTAACATTATTGAACTTCTAAATAACCATTAATAGAACTATATTGCTTCAACCACCTCATTAATGATAGAATTTTGGATATTTATGACGTAAATATTAGGTTTAAATAGCTCAAATAACTTCTATTAACTCTATTTACATCAATATATTTTGACCCATAGCCTCTCTAGACAAAAAATTATCTTTTCCAACTAAACTCAAACTTCTAAATTCAAGAAAATGCAAAAGGAAGAGAGGGAAAGAACTTAGGAGTCTTATCTTTAGCGTTTAAAAGCTTTAAAACACTCTCAATGCATCCAAATCTCAAGCCTTAGCAGAAGTTTTCACAAGCTTCTTCTTTTATCTTTTGTTTCTCTTCTATTTTTTGTCAGTTTTGTGTTTTATTTCTACAGAAAATATATCACATGTCGCGTCACGTGGTACAAAGAGGAGCTTTTGCACTTTGATTGGCTTGTGTGTCGCAGCATGTGACGTAAGGCAATTTCTTTGTTTTTATTTTTTTTTTAACTTTTTGACATTCGAATGGTCTGATCTCACCAAACTCATAATCTAAAACACCCGTTAACTCTTCGTAACCACACACAACATTTATTTACTTATTTAATCTCATTTATTTATTTAATTAGAGGTTAAATTCTTTAGGATATTACTGAAGCTGGTTATAATTTGTAATATTTTGTACTAGACTTTATAAATAATAAAACTATATTTAAGATGATTTAAAATTTGGGCTTTAGTTCGAAAGCCCCGGAATCCTCGTATAGATCCAGGAAAAAAAAAAAGAGTGGAATAAAATAAATAGGAAGTGAAATAAAGATATGTTAAAAGAAAAATAAAAGAAATCTTTGTATGATTTTTTATTGAAAAATAAGTGTATTTATAATATGGAAAGAACAAATCAGCCTTGCGGCCTTACCAAAGTGAAAACAGGACCCTACTTACTACAGCATCCAAAAATCAAAACCGCCGATCGTACGCAGGTCACCAGGAAATCCAAGAGGTCGCCATTGACGTCGAAATCTATAAACCAAAACCATTCCCTGTTGTTGATGACCTATTATCATCGTTCCTCGCAAACTCGAGTGGGAAGAGCTTGTTTCAGACATCAAATTCAAAATTATTAATTTATTGCCACGTCATCATGTGACCTGTTTTCGGAGAGCAAGAATCTTTATCTCAAATGAGAAGCTTCCAACGTGGCAAGCAGTCACAGGTGCTTGAGTCGACCAATCATATATCATCTTATCTTTATCCGTTATCTCACTCCCACTGCTCTCTACTCACATCACAACATAATTCTCCAGACCCTCTTCGTCCCCAAAGCAAAATCACTCTCTCTGTCGTCGCTACCACTAGTTTTTTTGGCAGCAACAATGGCAGCCTCACTCCAAGCAGCCGCCACCCTCGTAGCCATGCCCTTACAGCTCAAATCCTCTCACTCCATTTCCAAGGCCTTCGGTTTGGAAACTTGTGCCCCCAGGCTCACCTGCTCTCTTCACCCTCATCTCAAGGACCTCGCTCACAAGTGTGCCGACGCCACCAAAATTGCAGGATTCGCCCTCGCCTCCTCCGCTCTCCTTGTCTCTGTATGTTTCTCTCTTTCTCTCTTTCGCATTCACTTCTTTTTTCTCAACCTGATGATTGCATAATCTGGTAGTTTCTTCGAAATCTCAGGGAGCGAGTGCTGAGGGTGTCCCGAAACGCCTCACCTACGACGAAATCCAGAGCAAGACGTACTTGGAAGTCAAGGGAACGGGAACAGCTAACCAGTGTCCGACCATCGACGGCGGGCTTGACTCTTTCGCCTTCAGGCCTGGCAAATACAACGCCAAGAAGTTCTGTCTCGAGCCCACGTCCTTCACGGTGAAAGCCGAGGGCGTCAACAAGAACGCCCCGCCGGAGTTCCAAAACACCAAGCTCATGACCCGCCTCACCTACACTCTCGACGAGATCGAGGGCCCCTTCGAAGTTTCTCAAGACGGCACAGTTAAGTTCGAGGAGAAAGACGGCATCGACTACGCCGCCGTGACTGTCCAGCTTCCCGGAGGCGAGCGCGTGCCTTTCCTCTTCACCATCAAACAGTTGGTGGCTTCCGGAAAACCGGAGAGCTTCGGCGGAGAATTTCTGGTGCCGTCGTACCGGGGATCGTCGTTTTTGGACCCCAAGGGAAGGGGTGCTTCTACGGGTTATGACAATGCGGTGGCATTGCCGGCAGGAGGAAGAGGAGACGAGGAAGAACTTGCGAAGGAGAACAATAAGAGTGCTCAGTCATCGAAAGGGAAGATAACGCTGAGCATGACCAAGACCAAGCCTGAGACTGGAGAGGCGATCGGCGTATTTGAGAGCGTTCAGCCATCTGATACCGATTTAGGAGCCAAAGCCCCGAAGGATGTGAAGATCCAGGGCATCTGGTATGCTCAGCTTGATTTCTCATAGACCTTCTTCTTCTTCTTCTTCGATCTGATTAAAGAAATGTGTGGGTTCGGAGTTTGTAGTCTCTAGAGGAGAATATTGCATATGCTGGCTGACCCAAAGGGCACTACTTTTATTATTATGTTTGTATATTATAATAATGACTTGAAATTATCAAAAAATGTAGTTTATATTGGTGGTGTGGTGCGTGAGTTTTTGTAACATTCGATGTTTACTTTCGGTGGCAATTCCATCGAACCCCAATGCAAAAGAGTGAGTTCAGCTTCATGAATGATGAATCATCGTCCTGATTGAATTTCTATCCATGTTATTATTACTACATCATCTGGATTCCGCGCATTAGAAATAGTGTCCGTCTACTCAGAAGTTAATTTATTAAAAATTCATTGAACAACAAAAATTAATTTAATAAAAATTTGTAATGAAATTTGTGTCATAATATATAAATTTATCGTTTTTATAATTTTTTGTTTTTCCATTTTAAAACAAGTTTAATTGAATGTTGAATTTTGTTTTTTTTTCATTTAAAATGATGCATTACCAAAATAAAATATTTTAAAACTAGTATGAAAACGGGTCAAAACAGATTGATTCAATATGTTGTGAAATATATGCCCCCAAAATTTGCAATCGGTGTGTGCGCCATGATGAAGAACTTTTAGCGAAGACCGGCAGAGGGTCAAACTGTTTAACCGAACTTGTTTTTAATAATCAAATTATCTAAGCCCAACTCACATAATTAAACAACTTTGAAAATAAAATTAAATTTAACTCATTTTGTTGAATGGGATCTTAGATTCAAATTGCATAGTCTATATATTGAACTTGCTCCAAAATGGTCAAGTGTTCGTAATCAATTTTGTTTAATGAGCACACAGAATACTTTTTCTGGGTTTTGCATTAAATTAAATAGTTAGATTTTCATTAAAAAAAAGAAGACAAATATCTCAAATATTCATTAGACTTTAATTTAGAAGTACAAAACAGTAGAACATTTATGGGGGCAAATGCTTGGTGTTCACACTTCACAATAGCGGGGATTGTTCCACCAATGATGAATGGCACAAACCGATCTTTTCTCATCTTTCTTTTTTTATTTTCCTGAAACGTGTTGTGTGTATCAGAAACCAACCGGGCGAAACGCATTCTACGTGTAAGAAATCCAAGTGATGAGAAGAGTCTCTAGCCGATTCCACCACTTTTCTATTGCAATTTCCCTGCAAAAATGCCAAATTCAGAACAATATGATCTTCCCCTTTTTTTCGTATCTTTCTAGAATTCCATATTCCCAGCTTTCTTCCATTTTCTTTCCCTTCTCACTTTTCTCCACAACCACCAGCTGTTCGATTAAATTACCATGACAAGGAGTTGCTTGCAACCATGGAGGAACTGCGAGGAGTATTTGGCACAAGCTCGAGTTTCACTTTGCGACTGGGGCAGGCCGGTTTCTCCGCCGCTTCGCTTCTCTTTTTGTGCTTCCATGTTGAATTCTATATGTACTCTGCTCACTGGTATGCTTCTGTTACGATCCTGCCCCTCCGTCATTCGCAGTATCCTTTCATAAAATCATATTGTTCTTGACAAGCCTGCTCATTATTGTTCGGTTTGAGTCCAAATTCTTGGTCTTGAATTGTGAGTACTCGATGAAAGCAATGCTCTGTTTCATAGGCTTCAAATCATTGGTCTCATAAGTTTTGTAAAGATAGTTGGAAGAACTGACTTTGCGAATAATATTTTGGGTGTAGTCGTCAAAAAATTAAACAAGGCTGTATTGGAATTACAATATGGCTATGTTTAATTTCAATTTTACAGAGACTTGGCCGCTTAGGATGACTTGTCATCCACACTACTCAACATTGGAGACAAAGTAACAGATTTACTTAATCATGTAAATTGCTAGCATTAAATTTGCTGTCCTAACACTGTAGGATGAGAAGAAATTACGGAGAGGTAGCTTACTGCAAAGTTTGTTATATTGGAATTTTAAACGAGGGAAGTAAGAAAGAACAGATGAGTTTCGACTTCTAGGTGATGCTGAATAAAAAATCTTCGATGAATTATCTTTGTTCAATCTTGAAAGTTTGTTGTTGACATTCTTCAATTACTCCATTGTATATACTTTTTCACATGTTGCAAATGAAAATGTTATAAGATGTTAATTAGGCTGGGAGTTTTATTGTTGTCCACATGGTTAGAATCTTCTGTCGGCTTACAGTTTGAGGGTGACAAAAGTGCAGGTTTTTTATTATATAGCATATCCTCTTCTCATCTTTAATTGGGTTTTTTGTTCTAACTGTCACTGTTGGTGATCCGCAGCTATTCCATTACAGTTATGAGTTTGGTAATTCCTTGGAGTGTGACATTGTTAGTGGTTGATGCATATTCTCTCCTCATAAATTGTTTACCACGTCAACGGAGAATCATAAGGATCATCTTCTTGGGAGACTTGGTATGTGAAGTCTATGAGTAAAATGACCTAAAGGCCTCATTTTTGCCACACTGCACTGATGATTTTGAGTTTTGTGTCCTCCTTCAGTGTCTGTCATACCTCTCACTAGCTGCAGCTTGTTCAACAGCCAGCGTCACAGATTTGCTGCAACATGCTGGTGGATCCATGTGCCCCATAATGTCTTGCAATGGATTTCGATGGTCTGCTGCTATGTCCTTCTTGTGTTGGTCTCTTTTATCAGCTTCCTGTCTTTTTAATTTCTGGCTCCTCCCTTCCCTGTAAATTTTATAGTTCGCTGTTGATATGTTCAGCAATAAGGTGGGATCAAACCCATAAGCTGCTATTATTTTGTTCCTCAGTGACTGAACTCTGCTAAGTATAGGCATTGTTAGACAATAATGCAATGACTAATACTTTGTTTTTGACTTTTAAGATACAATAGAAACGCGGAAAATTTTGCTCCTTGGATTCCATCATAATTTCGTCCTTTTCTTTTCATTTTTGATATTCTTTTCTGGTTTATGCTAATTATATATAAGAAATGAGTCCCAAAACCTCATCCAATTAATATTTCAATCATAAATAAGCACATTTACCTTTCATAATACTTTGTTAGGATTGCTTGTTTCATCCCGCAATCACTTGGGTAAAACTTACCCTTCATAAACTTACTTGTATGAAAATGTTAACAGACACTTCATTGGGCCATGGAACAATTTCGATCTCTGTGATATACAAAATGGAAGAAAGTGAGCAAGAAAATAGAATGAAAAATGATTTTGTAGATAAGAAATTCATTATGTTTCTGTATAAAAAAGTGATAAAGGAAATGATGATAGGAATGTATGCATGCATGCATGTATATATGAAACATATCATCCCCATTTGTACAATGGATTCTTTTTTCTCTTCCGGAGGATAATCCAAACGGGTTTTGGTTTGAGCCTTTGAGGTGGCTCGTATCATGCCTGAAGATCCTGCGTGTGGAAAGTCAAGAGATTGGAAAACAAATGTTATTGTTGCATGCAAACTCGGAAGGATTTAAACCTAAACTGACGTTCTATAAAAAAATTTATGAAAAATTAAGGCTTATGTCATTTTGGTGGTGTTATAATTTTATGGGTTTTGTGAAAATTAATGTACTATATTTTTAGTTAATAATAATAATATATCAAAAAGCTTAGTTGTTGATACTTGACAGAGCACAATAATATTGTCCAATTTATGAAGTTAATTCCACCTAATAGGATAGAGTTCATTGTTAATGTTTTCAAATAAGGCCTGCCCAGCTTGTTAGACCTCCCTTATGTAGGCCCATTTACCTTTTAAAGAGCTTCAGCAAGTGAAACTAAGCCAGTGGAAGCACGTTGATACCGAAGGCCCGTTGACCTTTTAAAGACTTCTTTTGGACTTTGAAATTGGTTACCTCTAATTATTAATTAATGGACTCTAATGCCATTCAGTAGACGTCGGAGTAATCTCAGACAGAATTCATTTTTTGCAGACAATAACGCGAATAAGAGCAATCATTATGCTTAATTTAGGCCAAGTTTGACAATTCAGTGTCATTATTGTTGTTGTTGCTATGTCTAAAATATTTTCATTCAGTTCTATAGTATACCAATTGCAATTACATCATTTTATTTATACATATATATATATATATATACATATATTTTTTTAAAACAAATGATATGGGGTCCACTAACAGTAAAAAAAATAGTGAAAAAATGATAAGATGACAGGGGAAAGAATTTTTAACATAAAAAAAATAGAATAGATCTTTATTTAAGTTTAAGGTGCCTCCTGATCATTCAAAAAATTTGAGTAGAAAAATGATCATTAACTTTATTTATTACGTAAAAGTAATGCGCATGTTTTGTTCTTTTAAGAAACAATTATTCAAATGAACAAGGCTCCCATTTCAAACCCTAGGACCACATATTTTAGTGATCATAATGAATTAAAAATGAATAGTTCCAATAATTAATGCTTCAAACATTAACACACCGGTGATGATAATCACGCTCAATAATAGAGTACACAATCTTGCAGTGCCTAAATGTTAATGTATCTTGGGCTAAATCCAAAAGGATTATATATGTGAATTGTGAAGCACATAATTGCTGAGGAACCAAATAATTGTTGGTGAACCAGGTAAGGTCAACCCCACCACCAACAGGCAATAACGCGTTCAACGCATTTATATATTGCTTTTTAAGACCTTGAAGACTGTGTGTGAGAGAGAGCGCATACAGCCACAAACAGTGATCCTGCATTTATGAATTTTAGTATATTGATTTTATTATAAAACTAATTAAGATCACTGCCATGAAAGTTCCTTGTTGCTAGGCAAAACAAAGCATAGTGGGAGACAAGTGACGGGTCAAATCAACATAGAACTTGGACCACAGCCACCACAAGTAATCCATGCATGTAGCCGATAAAGAACGGTGCATATAATTATTGTGTTCAATGAATCCTGCGCACATGACTAATCACATTCAATTCATCCTTAATCCAATCAATATTAATTTGTCATATTAATTCAATGTCGCAATTGATCATGTTTCCTATCAAAGCTGTTGCGAGTGAGAAAGAAATACAGAAAATTAGGATTTCCTAACACAAATTAATTCAAATGATAAATTCTTCTGACCAGCAGACTCGCTCCATACATAATTAATCAATATTGACTAGGCCGTACTGGCGTTCTCATAAGCTTAAAAAAATAATAAGTTTTTCCAAATTAAGACCAAGGAAATAGGAATTAGCCTAATGCATCAGATCTTATTCATAATAATAGCAACCAACTTACGTTGTCATGCTAAATAATCGAGGGTGACCCGGTGCTTTGGAAATAGCCAAAATGTTAAATAATAATTGGGAGAAAAAGAAAGATCAAGCGTTAACCCGAGGTGGAAATTTATGGACGTGTTAAAATATTTTATCAGAAGATAATTACCACCATCAAGGTAATTGCAATAGGCTGTTTAGGGTTTATGATTAAAAATCATATAATTATTACTTAGATTTGAGAAATTTTCAATTTTAAATAAAGCTATAGCTAGGCCTCCAAAAATTTTAGACTAGAATTTTATGACGTATTTGTTAGGATGTAGTGATTATGTTTGAATAAAATTTGTGCGGATAATTTAGTCAAATATCAATGGACACCAAAGTTAAGCCCATAAAACTTGAGTACGAAGTAACTAACAAATTTTCTTTTAAGCAAAGTAGTGTTACACTGGCTCCAAAAGAATGGGTCATGTTGTGATGTTATGCATGACGAACGCGCCCACACACACACCCACACAACTTTGTCTTGAATTTAATTAAAACATGCTCTTTAATTCCATTATTCTATATAAAAAAGCAATATAATATACAATTTCTGGTTAGAAATTTCATTTTATTGAGTCAAAATTCAACAGACTGCACAAAATAAAATCAACAGCCTAAATCAGATCGAGAAGAAGAAGAAGTCTAAACACAATGAAACCCTAATTCAAAACAACATAAAGCCTAATGATACACACCCAATGATGGAAACCGACCTAAATTGAATAACACAATTTTATTTAATGAACCATATAGCCACATTAAATACAAAACTTGAGTAATGCCTCATTGTCAAACTTAGAAAAGAACGTAGGCTATTAGAAGCTTATATAGCGCATAAAACATAATTAAGAAAACAAGAAATAATTGAAAATAAAAACACACACTTCTGAACTAATACATATAATGGACCAAAGAGCCCATAAAAATAAAGCACTCCCTTCAGGTTAGACTTGAAAATATTTAGGGTACTTTACTTGGATAACAACTTATCATGACTCTTCTTCACAAGAGCCTTCATTAATATATTTGCCAGCTCTTCTCTAGATATTACATGCATTACAAAATTCAACCCTTCCATTAGCCTTTCTCTTACAAAATGACAGTCGATTTCTATGTATTTTGTTCTCTCATGATAGACTAGATCAGAAGCTATCTATATCATAGCCTTGTTGTCACAATACACAAAAACAGGAACTAAATCAACGATGCCTAACTCTTTTAATAAACCATTTAACCAAATAATCTCATAAACAATACTCCCTAAAGCCCTATATTCTGCCTTAGCAAAAGAACGCGAGACAATGGACTATCTCTTTGATTTCCATGCAACAAGAGCTCCATCTAATTTGATCAGATAACCTATGATAGATCTACAAGACTCAAGACAAGAAGCCCAGTTAGAATCACAGTACCCATCTAATGTCATATTACTAAAAGAAGGAAAATATATACCTCTACTTGTGTCCTTTTTCAAGTATTTCATAGTATTTAAAGTAGTTCTAAGATAACACTTTCTTGGATTTTGCAAGAACTGACTCAATAATTGAACAAAGTAACTAATATCAAGTCCAGTAGTGGTCAAATATAATTACTTCCCTATTAGATGCCTATATCTAGATGGATCAATTAACAAATCATCTTTCCTCCCCTTTCTAGGCACATTGTAAAGCTTCAAATTTGGGTTCATAAGCATATTTCTAGGCCTACAATCACTAAGCCCTGCAGTAGCAATTAAGTCTAAGGTATATTTATGTTGATTAAGAATCAAACCTTTGTCAGACTTGGCAATCTCTTTTCTTAGAAAATATTTTAGCAACCTTAAGTCTTTCATTTTAAAATTATCGTGCAAAAATCTCTTTGTTTCTTCTATTCCTTTATTACTATTTCTAGTTATGACAAGATTATCTACATATGCTAATATAATAGTAAACTCATTTTCATGTCTTTTAATAAATAAGGAATAATCAAATTTACTCTGTACAAAACCTCTAGCAAGTAGGGCTTTATAGAATTCTATATTCCATTATCTTATAGCCTGCTTTAGCCTATAATGGGACCTAATCAATTTGTATACTTTCTTCTATCCTTGCTTGTTGAATCCTAAAGGGATTTTCATATATACTTCCTCATTGAGATATCCCTACAAGAAAGCATTGTCAACATCCATCTAAAATAAGTCCCAACTATTTTTAACAGTTATAACCAGCACAAAATGCCCAATGTTCATTTAAGAACAAGCAAAAAAGTATTAGAATAATCAATACCTTCGACCATAACCTTTAACAACAAGCCATGCTTTTAATTTATTTAAACTGCCATCCGCATTAAATTTCCTTTTAAAAACCCAAATAACGTGTGAGAAATTATCTACTATTGTTAAGAAGAATTTAAATACTTGATGGGTTGCCACTTTATATGGTCCCTAAACATCAACATGTAACAAATCAAAGAAGGATTTAGATTTTATTGCACTAATGGAAAAAGTAAGTTGAGTTTGCTTTAACTTAAAACAAAAATCACATTTAGAAAAATCAAAGGAAATTTAATTGTTTTGCAATGAAGTAACACGTTTTAATATAGAGCCTGAAAGGTGCCCTAGTCTTAAGTGCCAAATGCAACTATAACAAATGATCTTTAGTAAAAGCATTAGAAAAATGGGATTCTCATCTACAACGTATAACTTTGAGTTTATTCTACAAATCATAGTCATTTTGCCACTATAAAGCCCTTGTAAGACACACACATTAGGGAAAAATTTAACCACACATTTATGTTCATCTATAAGATGAGATATAGATATTAGGTCATAGCATATTCCAGGGGCATAATAAATATTATTTAAAATAATATCATCAAAAATTTTAATAGTCCTAGCACGTGTGACCAATAATTTTTTAGAGTTAGGAATTTTGATTTTAAGAGTAGAGCCAATGTATTCTTCAAAGTAATCAAGATATAATAAATGACTAATAATATGACAAGTGCCCCTAAATCCAAAAGCCAATGTGCCTGATTTTTATTTATAGAAGATGATGCGAAAGAGTTCAAACTTGAGGGTTCCCTTAGATCATTCCCACTAATGACATAGTGCTTGATAATGCCTTGATCTCCTTCTTCAAGTTGTCAATGATTCTTTCATATTCATTTGGTGATAGTAATTGTTGCTTAGATAAGGTGTGGCTTTGCTTTAAAGTATTGAAGGAGGCGGTGGCTTTAGCATTTTTTGCTTGCCTGAATTGATTGTTGTGCCCTATTCCTTCTTGAAAGTTTGGAGGAAAACCAACAAGCTAAAAATAGTTATCCCTCACATGGCCTCTTTTGTGGCAATAGGTGCACTCATCATTTGGATTTTCTCTAGCTCTTCCTTGACTAAATCTGCCACGACCTCTCACAGTCATCACAGATCCTTCAAATTGATTAAAAGAAGATGTGGAATAGATTGTTGTGCCTCCTAGTAAGAAATCATTGAGTATGCCTGATTTATGGATGGCAACACATTCATAAAAAGGATTTGACTCCTAATGGATTGATATGAGTTGTTAAGCCCCATTAAAAGTTGAAATGGCTTCTATTGGTGAATGTTTTTCACATATTTCATAGATGAGTTGCATTTGCAAGTAGGTATAGGGATGATTGTTACATGCTCCTCCCACAACTCTTTTAGTCTTGTGAAATAGCTTGATATAGACAAATTTTCTTGAGTATGCGAGTTTATAAGGCGATAAAGACAATATACCTTTATTTCGTTAGTTCAATCAAATCATTTATACAAGTCCTCCCATATGAGATGGGCACTATTGAAGAATGTAATGCTTGCTACAATTTCTTTGGAGATAGAGTTGATTAACCACAAAAGCACAAGGGCATTACCTCAATCCTACTAATTTCGAAGATTCTCTTTCTGGACATCTTTCTCACAAGAACCATTGACAATACCAATTTGTTCTTTACTCATAAGGCCATTTGCATTATGCGATTCTAGATAACATAATTTGTGGTTTCAGTGAGTGATTAAGGTATGAGTGGTGACCTAACTGTCAGATGGATGAAGATAGAGTGGATGGGTTATATCAAGTGCAAAAGCTGAAGATTTGGTGCCTATGGTTTCACCTATGACGAAAAGAGAAGAAAGATCACGATGGAGATATTAATGGAGAAGACGATGTCAAAGGCTAAGGCAAGAAAAATGGAGAGAAACAATGGTGATAAAAGCAAGAAAGTGAAAAACAAAAAAGAAAATATGGCAAGAAAATAATCAGGTTTCAAGAATGAAAAACGAGTCACATGAACTGAATCGAACCAGCTCTAATACTATGTTGAAAGCCTGAACTAAATTGAATCACACAATTTTATTTAATGAACCATATGGCCATATTGAGTACAAAACTTGGACAATGCCTCATTGTCAAACTTAGAAAAGAATTTAGGCTATCAGAAGCTTATATAAGACATAAAACAGAATCAAGAATACAAGAAAGAATCGAAAATCAAAAGCACACCTCTAAATTAATACATAATGGACCAAATACGGGCCCATATTAAAAGAGCCCATAAAAATAAACAAAAGGGAATTACTTTTCAACACCCAACGAAAAACAAAGCAAGAAAGAAAGCAGTGAGGTCGTCGATGTGAAGAAAATGCTATGCAGCTAGAATCCATTACGGTAACATCTTCACTTCACTGCTAAGATGACAGAGCCACTCATAGTTCATTAGAACCAAAGCTATCACTACTACAAATTAAACCCTACCTAGCAGACAAAACCCAGAGGGGAAACGATCCATGTACAAGTAAAGCAAATGAAAAAAAAGGTATAAAAAATAGATAAGTATAAGCATGCATTAAAAAAATGTTATGGTGGTCCTTGTTTCAGGTAAAGGACAAGCTTGCGTGAGGAAGAAAATTCGAAAGAAGCTTCATGGAACTTTGAAGCAAATAAAAGGTGGGGCTTCCGTTGCGTCCCTCGTCTTTTTCATTATTTTTGTATATATTTAAAAAGCAAGCTCTCACTTTCTTCTAAACTCGATATTTATTATTCATTCATTCTTTTTCATACTATACTTCCTCGCACCTCCTTATGTCTCTGTTTCACCCCTTTCACTGTGCTTTTAATCCCTCCTTCAGCCAAATATTGACAACGTCCCTTTAAATACTGTGGTCATTAATTATTATTTAATTTTTGTTGTTGGTTAAGAATGGGTTTTATCATTAATTTATGTTCATTATTCCCTCCATCCTAAATTATAAAATAATTTAAGACAAAATTATGTATACTAATAAAATATAATAATGACATTTTGCAAATTTATTTTTTAAAAATAAAACTATAAACTTTTAAAAATACTTTGACATATTTAATTATTACTTTATAATATCATTTTAATTTTTTTTACTGTAATATCTTATCAAATTATCTTGTATTTTAAAATAATAAAATAATTCTAAAATTATTTTATAATTTAGCAGGAAGGGAATATCATTTGAAGAGAAGAAGGGTCCCCCACAGGGCAGAAAAAGACGAGAGTGGATAAACAAATGTTGACAAGGTCTGTCGCTGACCCACATCCCCTTACGCCAGCTTCCGTCCCTCGGAGTCGGACTATTGTTTGCTTTCTTTTCACTTTTTTTTTTTTTTCTCACATTTATATTTTTTATTACAATTTATTACTATTATTATTGTTATTATCTACGTGTCCCCCCCCTCCCCCCACAAAAAAAAAGTATTGTTATTATCTACGCTTTCCAATGCCTCTCTTTCTCTCGACTCGTCGTGGCTTCTTCTCCATCTTCCTCCCATGCAACTCCTCCTCCTCCGTTCGCCACGTCCTCTGATCTTCTCCAGCCACACCGCGCGTCACCCATCCCTAACTCCAAGGACTCAAAGATAGTAGAAAGAAAGAAATATAATAAATTATGAGAATAAAATAATTAAAATATGGATAAAAGATAAGTCAATAAATAATGCTTAAAAAAAAAAGCTTATAAGAACGTTTATTTTTAACCCACAAGAAGGCTTCAAAAGCTTTTTTACATAAAGCTAAGAATGTTCTGAAAGGGGCTCTTCTGTATAACAATGAGCAAATTTATAATACGTGATATTATGTTTTATTATATTCTTACTATAAGGAAAGAGTAATGTAATTCCTTTTTTTTTTTTAATGTTTTTTAATCTTCTATTCTATTCGTAACCTTTATGGCACTCAAAGGCGCCTTAAAACTCTCTGTTTTTTTTTTTTAAATTTCTCCACATAATTACTAGAAACTACTAATGTCAATCAATGTCACTCTGTAAAATTCATACAAAACACAAGTCTTTTAATATATAGTACAATACAATGTTAATTAATATCAATATAGAGTATATGAAACTTCAATATTTTTGTATCATGTACCGTTTAAATACTCATTTTTAATTATTTTTTATATTGAATCCCGTGCACCTTGCTGGAATTTGATCTTTTGTTAATTGTAAATGAACGGTGAATAAAGGAAGGCAAATAAAGGAAATGGTAGAGCCCCATTATGATAACTCGTGTACACTTGCGATTTGAAAAATCTCCATCGTATCAAAATTCACCGACTAGTGATGTAATTCTCAGCATTTTTCTCTGCTCAGGTGGTCTCATCTCACGCATCACACAGCCACTCCTGAATTTTGCTTCTTCTATGGGAATTACTTTCATTGTCCATTTGACCGACGGTTTAGATTTCGAATCTCCCGTCAGTTCCCCCCGTTCTTCGCGCGACCTCCTTTCCCTCTTTGGATGGCCGGTTCCCACCATCCGACGGTGAGGATTGAATGACTAGTCCCAGACACACGTACACACATAGGAGCATGCCGAACAAAAATATAAGCAATACTTAGTCTCCCCTCCTTCTTTTTACAACACGTGCCCCTAACCTGGACAACCTGTCACCCATAACTTCCAGCCTGGAGATTCATTTACCCCTGATTCAATTTCAACTTTAAACCAAAAAAAAAGAAAAGAATATTTCCATCGAAGAAGGATCCGACGTGGCACTAAGGTCCAAATGACGAGGTCCTTCTTTCTCTACATATACCCTCCATCCCCAGCTTTCTTCTTCCTCAATCTAGACTTCCCTCTGCATTTTCACGTATCAGGCATAGTTGGTAGAGAATTGGATCGGAGCAGTTATTGTAGAATGGGCAATTGCAGCTCCGGCAATATGGGGCAGGTACAGACGGCGAAGCTTATTCTGGAAGATGGACAGCTCCGGGAGTTCCCTAACCCGGTGAAGGTTTCCTACTTGTTGCAGAAGTACCCGATGTGTTTTATCTGTAACTCCGACGAGATGGACTTTGACGACTTCATGATGGCTATTGACGAGGACGAAGTGTTACAGCCGGGTCAGCTCTATTTCGCTTTGCCGTTGAGTCGGTTGAATCACCCCTTACGGGCCGACGAGATGGCCGCATTGGCAGTGAAGGCCAGCTCGGCGCTTATGAAAAGTGGCTGCTGTGAGAAATACATTTCCCGCCGGACACAGATTGTGGTTGCCGGCGACGAAAGCTCCAAGTCGTGTCGGACAGTGTCTCACAGTCACAGAGTCAGTGGCGCACGTGGTGTAGGTCGATCAAAAATAGGAAGGAGAAGTGGCGGTAGTGGTGACCGTTGGGCCAAGTCAACGACGACGTTGGGCACAATACCGGAATAGGGCTAGTTTGGGGAGAAAATGTCCGCCGGTGATTTTGTTTCGTTGTAAATAACTATAACTAGATCGATGTGTCCTTTCCAACGAAAAAAGAAAAACCAACAATCCAACATTGTAGAGGTGTTAGTCCGCGGAACAATGAAAGCGATCAGATTTCATTGAGACGGACCAAGTCTTCATGGCAGCTCTGTTCAATCGTTGGCTCTGATTTTCGAGAGTCCCATGCATTTTTTTGTATTGCTTTATAATTTTTAATCCCTACATTATTCGATTTACATGCAAGAGTAACAACGAAACACTAGAAGGTAAAATATCCTGCTACTAGTAGCAGTGATCAACGGTAACCGTGTTGAATGATCAATTAAAAAGGAGAATATAATAATGCAGAGTATGTAAGCAGAAGAAAATTATCAATTAAAAACGAGAGAATATAATAATGGAGAGGCTGTAAGCAGAAGAAAATTAGCACTTGAAAACATGGTTAGGTACGGCGTGAGAGAGAGAGATAAACATAGAAATGGCAACATCAATCTGATTGGGTTAATGAAATTACTGTCAAATGGTACCAACATGTAGGTCGGCAATGGATGCGACGCCAATGAGAGGGGACAAGAAGTGGAACTTAACAAGTTTGAAAAAGAAAAGGTTATTTCACTGTTATGATTTCAAATCCGACTCATGCTTGATAGAGATGTCAGATTGTAGTGATAAACGAGATTTACTCCACTTAAAGCAATAGTTAGGGTAGGCATGTGAGGATAATGATAGAAACAGTGAGGATGCATATTAATTACAAGAGGGTTGAAGGAGTGGTGAAAGACGAAAATGAGTGGGACGAAGCACGCACATAGTTTGGTCTATGCACATAACCAAACCAAACCAAACAAAGTGAGTGAGGCTAAGTTAGATATGAAAGGCTTTTCTTAGCCGAGACTTGAAAATGTTTTGTACAGATGGAAACAACTAGCAAGCATTGAATAGAAAGAGTAGTGAAAAAGAGAGGGTGGGAGAGTGATGAGCTATAAAAAAGTAAAGGTAACTTGAAAGACTTGTCATTAATGGTAATTAATACGATCAGAGTGTGGGTTAGCCTGTGTGGCCTAATGCTCTGCTTTATACAGCTGTTAAGATATGATGGCACAGGTCCTGGAATCTCCAATAGGGAACCGTGTGATGCAGAATTGAGTCGAAACCGTCGAACCATTCAATGGCTCCAGTGAAGTTCAGTACGGACAAGAAGAAACCATGTCCATGGTGCACTATAGTGTTGATGTTTTGGAGAGAAAGACCTCATGGCGAGATCCATCACCACGGATAAGGTCCAGCGCACAGCTTCGATGGTGAACTCAACCAATATGCTAGCTAGCTGGTGGTACCCAGATCAGGTTTCATTGGATCAGTGGTCCAGAAAGTAGGTCAGTAGGTCGCGAAGTGCTTTTCGCATGAGTTTGTCTTGACATAGGGCAGGGAAAAATCAACTTAATTACTATAATTAAAACTACTTGTGCGTTAAATAATCGTCACGATTATATATAAGCAAGCAGAAGCGTTCAGTTTTGGTCCATGAATATATATAGTAGAAGTCAAGTTTTCACACATATTGTGAAAGATAACCAAGTAAGCTAGAGTGAGAACAAAGAGAGAGAATTGATAATAGAGTTATAGAGAGAGCGCATTGTATGGTCAAAGGCTGAAAGCTGTGATGCATTGTTTGTTAGTGTGTGTCAATGCAGTTGGGAACCACCGATTGAGTTGGAGTACATATACGAAAGGACTTTCTCAGCACACTGCATTAGATTGTAGAAGAGAGCCATTTTTGACTTGCAATGGCTATTATGAGGAAAGCCAGCTGTGGGTGGAATCCGATGTTCAAGTCTCTCCTTGTTTCTTTGCTGTTAATTCCAGTAAAAAGATGGCCAATAATGCTCTTTACCACCTTTTTTCTGCTTTTAAAGTATATGTAGGGTATTTTTAATTCAATTATATTTTAATGAAGCAGTTAATTACATATTTGTCCTTATTTAACTTAAAAGTAAATGGATGAATGATTTATTTTTTAAATGTATTTTTGGAAAAAATTATTAATTACCCACTAAAAACTAAAAATATCTTATATTTTTAAATATCTAACCATAAAAAATATCTTATACTTACGCTTGAACTCGATCATTTTAATACCTCATATTCACGCACAAAGTGAATAAGAATGTAACCAAGAACACAGAATTCTGGAGGGCGTGGTGTGACTGGTGGCACCCATACTGAGTTAAATTTCGTAGTTGATAGTATAGTAATTCAAATAGAAGGTTGTATAGAACAGGTGATGTGGTCCTAATCCTAATCAATATTCTCCGATCCTGTATATTAATTATTTTTTAAAAATATAATTTAATTTATTTTATAAGTTATGTAATTGCTTTATTTTAAATTAAAATTTTTAAATTATTCTTAAAAATAAAAAAATAAAAATAAAATAATATATATTTATTTATTTATTTATTTATTTTTATTGGGTTGATATTGATGGCATTAATAGAAATAATTTATAAATAAAATTTAAAGAATATAAGATAACAAAGCACATTGAGTACTGTTGAACATGGGAAATAGTGTAGATGCATATTGTGGTTGATTTGGAGCGTGGATTCTCTCTCCTTCCTTCCCATCCTTTTCCATTCTTTTTCTTTTTAGTTATTAGATCAATATTTAAATAGTTTAGATTTAACCTCATATAAAATTATTATTATAAAAAATATAAATAATAAAATTCAAACTATTAAAATTTAACAAGAACAATTTAAAAATACTGTAAGGTAAAACAAAAAAAAATGTTTTGAAGGAGATCAAATTTAAATTATCTAATGATCTAGTGGTCAAAAATTAAGAAGAGGACGGGAAAAGAACGGGAAGGAAGAGCGAGAATCATTTCCCAATTATTTGCCCACTTGCTCCTCGTGATTGAACGTTTCCGATAAGTTGGTAATTAATGTTTCACAATCAGTCAATTAGCGACGCATCGTGCAAAATACTACAAATCTACGATGATGAATTAGTTGTTGTTTGGTTACATCTTCATTGAATTTTACACATTTTACATAAAGAAGTAATTAAAAGATCCTACTCCTTACGATGAAATGAGAAAAATATAATTCTCTGCACCATTAAACGTGCAAATACAACTAGTATAGGAATTGTTTTAAATTTTATATTTTATATTGATATTTATTATTACATATATCTACAATTTATTGCTACTTCAATGTTAAAATTTGTTTTTTGATCCATTTTAATTTATATATTTACAATTAATAATATTTATTATTAACAATTAACAAATTTGTCTGCAAATGCAATAAAGTTTCACTTGTTAAATTGTATCATGCATGCTCGCTAGGTCATTATTTGACAATCAACAATCCAACACCGAAAAATTTATACAATTGGCTGTCATGGTTTATAGCTTCGTTCAATTTTAGATTTCATCATTTCATGTCTATATCTAAAACCTTATAATTAAGTACTATACTTCATACTCTTTTCGTTTAAAAATATAAAATATTTTTTGAGAAGTTAAATGTTTAAAAAATAAAAAATATTTTTAATTTTTTGAGGTGTAATTATTGTCTTTTTTTTAAATATCCATAGTAATAATAACTGTATATTTATTATAAATTATTTAATAAAAATAAATATAAAAAGATAGAATTAAATAAAAAATAATAATTATTTTATTGAGGGTAAAATTCAGTTAAAAATATTTTGTATTTTTAAACGAAGGAATAACTTTTTAGTTTATCCATTATTGTTATATGCTTCTATCAATATTTTTTATAAAATTAAGTTAATTTTATTTTATCATATACAATTTTTTATTTTTGTTATCACAAATTATATATTTTTAATGTTCTAAAATAATATATAAATGGTGATATAGATAAATTTTGACAAGTAATAAATATTTATAATATGAACTAACAGGGAAAAAAATAATGGTAATCAAATCTTCAGTACTGCCGGCTACCGGTGCGCCGAAAGAGCATCTGATTGGTGCTTGGGTCCACTTTCTCTCTTTCTTATTCTTTCTGACCCTCCAAGCTCTGCCTCCTCTTACGTTCCATACGCATAAATTTAATTTTCAACGTTGAAATTTAATATTTTATAAAATTATTACTATATTTTAAAATAAATTTAAACCATAAAATTTTAACTTAAACATTTCATAACTATAATGAAAAAATAGAAAATAATCACGTACAAACTATTTTTATTGTAATTCTAAACTATTAGAGTGAAATTTCGATGATATAATTTTATTTTATCAAACGAATAATTTAACAAATATTTAAATAATTTATTAAACATTGGATATTTATTAAATTATTCAAATATTTGGTAACTAAAAACTTAATGTCCTCCTCCGAAAAATATCTCACTTGAAGCAAAATATTTGAATATATTTCTCAAATATTTTTTTTCTAATTTTTTTGTCTAAGCTTAAGCACAGTCTTGATTTACATTTTTTTTTTTCATCTTTAGCTAAAGAGATAATTTAGTCATTTCACGTTTAAGTAAAAGAACAGTCTATTAAAATGTATAAAATGTTTAATTCAAGCACGAATCCTTTGCTCAAATATCTTAGTTATATACTTATATGGTTATTTTCACCAATTTTTTTCAAACGGAAAAAAATGAGAGAGAATTATGTTTAAAAATTTAGTAAAAATTTATTCACAAACAAAAACTATAGCATAATGAATTATTGTTAAAATAAAAATATAAATTTTTTCTCAAATGGGATAGTTATTATTGGTAAATAAATACTTTTTGACTAAATCCTTGAATATAATTCTACAAAAGTAAAAAGTTTCCTATTGTCATGGACAGAAAGTCTTGATCAACAGCAGGATGGTAAAGGAGTGCTTCTAACTTTTATAAATCATTTTTATTAATTTTATCAATATTAATGTAAAAAAAATAAAAGTGTATAAAATTTTAAATATTTTCTTATATAAAAAAATTCAAAAAATGATATCATATTTCTTTTTTACTCTCATAAAAGTAATATTAAAAATATCTTTTTAACTATTACTTAAAAAGCTATGTCACTTATAAATAAAATTAGATAGACTTTTCCCAACATATATTGATATAAATGTTAGGTTTCAATATGAGCAAAATGTTGAAGCAGTGGTTTTGAAGCAAATTGTTTTGCGTATTATTCATTTTAAATTTTAAGCATTTATCATTGCATTAATTCAACTACTAAAAAATTTAT